TGGTGGTTGCCTTTTTTTCTCTTTCTTTGCCATAGTAGACATGGCACTGAGCCGAGCAGTGGCAGGATGTCTCCCGCAGCTCCTCAGGGCCCAGGCCTCTGCCTGGGAGTGTTGCGTGCGGCCAAGGTAGCCGGTGACCAGATGCCAGTGCAGACAGCCAGAGGGCCTTGTCCTTGACTCTGGCCCCAGGCTGGGAGACTCCGTGGCCTCCCCAGCGGGCACAGACCATGCCCAGCTCCACCTGACTCGGGCATGGTGCCGGAACACCTGGCCAAAGCCACCCTCCTCAGTGGGACCCGAGGACCTGGCGTGTCCTTGGAGATTCAACTCCAAAGTCCAGAAACTAGGGAGGGAGGGGCTGAGCGCTCTGTTTTTCAAGGGAGGAAAATGGAGACTTTGTCCTGGAGGAGACTTGGAAGGGACGGCCGGGTCTGTCACCCAGGCCGGCGGCGAGCGATGTGAGCAGGACTTTCCTCCCCTGGCCCTTGAGTAGAGCCTGTTGCCCAGCTAGGCGGTGGGCGTCCTGCCCCGAAATCGCAGCAGGGCAGAACAGTCCAGGGACCAAGCCCAGCATGGCAGGAGTGGGGCCAGGGGTCTGAGTCCGGCTGTCTGCGAGCTCTCAGGCCAGGCCTTGGGCTCTCTCCACCCCTTGGGGTTCACGTCCGCTCTGAGTCTGCTCTGAGCTTCCAGTGAGGTGCCATTGGAGCTGCAAAGCGCAGGTGTCCACGCTCCAGTGTGCCCCAGTGGTGAGTCCGAGGCGGGGTGAGCCTCATTAGAAGAAATGGCTGAGACTCTGCAGGGGCTTGGGAGGAAAGAAAGGGCTTTGGTGATGGGGAACTGGGAGGTGAGAGGATCGTGGGACTCACTGTCCCTCGTGGGGCCTACGACAGTGGCTCGTCTGACTTCGGCCTCCTCGACACAGCCATCCCAGGGTCTGAGCGCAGAGGGGTCTGAGAGCCCTGGTGGGGAGGGTACGCATGGTGCCTGGAACTGGACACTGGTAACAGCAGCGGAGGCCGAGCTGGTGGAGAGCCGTCTCGCCAGCCCCGAGCCAGGTCAGGACTCGAGTGGGGCAGTCCCACGTGCACAAGGCCCGGCCGGCGGGCAGCCGTCCTCTCCCTCCCACTGCACCCCCCTCCCCCTGCTGTCCCTCCTTTCCCCTTGGCTGCCCCGTGCACTAGTTCCCATTCCCCTTGTAGGACTGAGGTGGCCCCGAGGGCCGTCCACCAGGACCTCAAGAGGGGACCTGAGTTAGAGGAAGAGTCACATATGTAAGGAGTTAAGGCTCTCGAGATGAGACCACCCGAGATTAGGGTGGCCCCTAAATCCGATGATAGGTATCTTTACAGGAGGAAGGAGAGGGTGACTTGAGGCAGACATGGGGAAGAGGAAGGCTTTGTGGGAACGGGGGTAGAGGTGGGGCAGTGCTCCTACAACCAAGGGTCTCCCAGGAGCCCAGCCGCCCCAGCAATTGCAGAGGTGGGCAGATCCTACCTGCGGGCGGTGGGGAGCCCAGCTCCCACATCTCAGTTGCAGACCTCTGGCCCAGAGGTGGGGGCACATTGCCGACCTAAGCCCAGCACACAGCAGCCTGCTTCCCCTCGGTCCAGCCAAGGCGCCTCTGGCTTCACTGCCTAGGAGAGCTGAGGGTGGAGCACAGGGCAGAAGGGTGTGGTTCGGGCCTGCCATGGAGGCCCTGGCTCTGCCCAGCCCTGGCAGCTTCCACTTCACAACGCAGGATGCTGGGTACACCCAGGGCAGGGTGGCCAGTTGCCTTTCTGACTCCCAGAGGCCGTGGACAGTCACTCCCACTTCTCACCTGAGCCCGGCCTGACGCCTCCCAGGCTGCGGGGGTTTGGCTGGAGAAGCCCTCTGTGAACTGAGGAGGGTCTGGCATGGCCATCGCTGCGAGCACTCTCCTGCCCGGGGGTTCCACTGCCTACGGCAGCAGACGCTGAGCTCCTGACGGGCCTGCCCTGCAGCTGGGGCCCAGGCTGGGGCCCAGCCCTCTGCAGACTGACCTTTCTCAGCAGCAGCGAGAGCCCTGCAGAGTGAATGCCCAGACCCTTTGCAGTGAAGGCGGCAGAGGCCCGGCTTGCAGGGTGGCAGGGCCGTGGGTCCGCGCCTAGCTGGAGGCCACGTGGTTGGGGCGTTGCTCCTGCCTCTGCGGCCTCCTCTGTGCTCTCTAGAAAACCCCAGGAGCCTCCTAACCCTGCACCAGGTTGCCCTTCCAGAGAGCAGAGTGGGCTCTGTTGGTTCCGAGCTGTGTGGGGCCAGGGCTGGACTGCGCTGGGCACTGCCCATGAGGCAGGCAGGGGGTCAGGGAGGTCGTGCCCAGAGACAAGCTCCCGGAGGGGCTTCCTCCCACCTAGCTGGGCTGGGGGCAAGGACCAGGAGGACCAGGGCTCTGGAGCTTCCCCCCATCCATCCAGTCCACTCCCCTGGGCCCCTCAGGCCCATGTCCCTCCCCCCCTCTGTCCTCCTTCTCTCCACTACCCCCTTCTTAGAAATGAAGTCATTTAGAAAAATCATCCAAAATAGAAAGAAAAAAACAGCTAAGAAAACGGGATTTTTCCCCCTTCAAACATTTGGTGAGACACCTCCCACACGGCTGAGTCCACGGGCCTGTTTTGGTTGGAGAGAGACTCAGACCCATACCCCTTGGGCTGCATGAGACAGGTGCAGGCCTCCAGGCCCCTCAATGAGGGTCTGCACTGTGCCTTCCCCAGGCAGCCTGGCAAAGGTCAGCCCCCCGGAGCCCGAGACCCCAGAGATAATGCCCTCCGCAGGGAGGGCCTCTGAGGCCTGAACAGGGCTGGGTGGGCCAGGGTGGGTGCAGGCCGGGAGGCCTCCCCTCCACTCTGCTCTCCCTGCTGGCCCACGCCCTGCTGCAGAGTTCTCGTTTGTTTATTTATAATTTATACTCAGCTGCTTCCAAGAATCTCCAGGCACTTGCTGAAAAGCTGCTTCCTGAAGCTCCCGGTGCTCCTGGCAGCCTTGGGCCCCAGCCCATCAGTGTTTCCCATCGTTCACAAGCCCAGACGGCTCAGCCTGGCTTCCAGGGCCCAGATCTGTCCCTCCATGTGTGTCCTGGCTTCTAGATGGGTTCTTCCTTGAATGCAGCTGGCCAGGATGACCTCGAGGCCCAGCAAGCCTTCTCCCTGTCTTGGGGTCAGACCCTTCCTGTGATGCCTCCTCTGGTCCTGATGTGCCCTCAGCTGTCTGTCCATGTCAGCTGCTGGTGCAGGCTGCTCCCTCCTGCCCTGGCTAAACCCCACCGGCCCTCAGAGGAGGAGACCAAGTCACCTCATTGTTGGAGACGGTGGTGGTGATAGGGGAAGGGGGACTCCCCTCTGTGTCACAGGTCTGAGGAGCCTGTGGGTGGCCACACGGGACATGCAGGAAGGGGAGGCCCACAGAGAGCTTTGGGCAGGGGGTACTAGAAAGGAGAGCCCGTGTAGGGCTGCAAGCAGAGGCCAGTGACCCCGTCTCCACATATGTTTCTTGAGCCCCTGGGGCAAAGTGTGAGAGCACTGGCCAGAAGGGGGATGGGCACCCAGCACTGTGAGGCCTGAATAGGACACAGCTGTACTGGCAGCTCGAGTCATGACCCTGGGACTCAGGGAGGGGGTCCAATCTGGAATAGCCAGCTGCCCCCCAGAGATGCTGAGAGGTGTCACTTGGTGGCTGTTTCCAGCCACTGCACCGTGGGCTAATTTGTTACACAGTCAGAGCTGACAGACACACCAGGAATTTCAGACAGTGTACCCAGGAGCCTTCCTTCCAAGAGGCAGGAAGTCCAGAAAGAGGCTGTCATTGTCCTCAGAACCTCTTGGGCCCTCCTCTGTGCTGAGGAGCCAAGTGGAGGGGCAGCCAACCTCAGCTCAGTAGCGTTGGGGGCACACCTGGGCGATGGTGCCCACGTTGATGCTGGAGACACCCAGTGGGCTCCTTCAGATCTAACCCTCACCCCTAACTCCTTTAGGCCACTAGGACCTCAAAAGGAGGGTCACCCTCATTCCTGGGGCTCCCCATTCCCCAGCCTGGCTTCTTTGGCCTCACTCTTCCAGGTTGTGGCAAAACACAAGCAGGGGCTCTGGCCTGAGCAGAGGGCCGGCCGGCGTTGGCCAGGGCCAGGTCATTGGCTTCCCAGCAGCACTTGGAAATGTCACCTCATTTCTTTCCAGCTCATATTCCTCCTTCACAAAACGGAGCTCATGATGCTTCCTCGAGCCCGTGCTGAGGGCAGCCAGGGGAAGCCCACGGGAAATAATGAACGCATGTGCCCCCAGAGCTCAGGCATGCCATCTGTCAAGCGGGCACTCAGGTTCTCTGTCTGCCAGCACAGGGCACGCTGCGGGGCAGTGGTGGGGCCCACGTCCCTCCCTCCTCCTGCATGTGGGTCCCCCTGGCCTGGCACCGCCCATCATGGCAGTGTGCAGTGCCTCCCTCCTCCAGCCCAGGCAGAAAGAGGGGGAGTCCTGGCCTGGCAGAGCCCATGAGGGGCACCCGCAGGGAGCCTGTGGCAAGGGCAGGTGCCTGCTGAGCCTTGCCAGGGATGCTCTGCCACTTGGCAGGCACATTGGAGCGTGGCCTTCCCCTGCTGCCAGCTCTCCTTGCCACCAAGCTCCATGGGGCCACAGATGTCCTGGCCACGGGGGTGGAAGAGACCGGATGTCCACTCCCGGCCACAGTGCTCCGCGCCAGCAGGTGGTGCTGACAGCCCCGGGCTGACACAGCCCAGAGCTCCTGACTGAGAGTGAGGTGGAGGCAGGGGCGGAGAGAAGAGAAGAGCCAGCGACTCTGTCTCCTTCTGGAAACGCCTCTGAGAGCCAGACTGGCCCAGGAGCATCTGGTTGCCAGGGTGGCCCGTGCCTGCTCCCTGGAGTGCAGCTGGCATGGAGCTGCCCTGGCCCATCCAAGCCACACATCCTGTGAATAGCTACTCTCGTGGGGCCCAGGCTGCAGGAAGGCCGGTTTTCCGGACACTGGGAGGCAATTCCGGGCAGCCCCGGATGCTCGTCTGGCTTCCCACCTGGGAAGTGGCATCATGCCCTGAGAAGAGCACAGGCTTCCCGGCCGCACAGAGCGGGACCAAAGGCCCGGACCCTGCACTGACTCGTGATGCGACCTCAGTCAAGGGGCTACGCTTCCCAAACCTTAGCCTCGCTTGTAGACTAGTAACTGTACGCACGAGGGCCGCGCTGAACAGAGTATGTGACCAGGGGCCATCAGCTCCTCCCTGTCCTGTCCAGGGCACCTGCTTTACCCCAGCTGCTGCAGGCAGACAAGGCCAGGGGACCCTGGTAGGACTCAGCCTGGACGTTGGCCCCTCCTGCTGCACCTGCCGCTCTCCTCGTGCAGGACACACCACTTCCCACTGCACTAGGGGGTCTTGAGTGCCACGAGATCTCCACCCAGCTTAGCACCCAGAGTAGCCGGGCGCCCAGGAGGAGCCTGTGTGGCATCTTTGGGCCCAGAGGGTTCCACAATAGCTGAAGTGACTGTTGGAAAGGCAGCACCCAGCCCTCCTGCAGCACCAGGTCCTCCCGCAATGAGCTGTTGAAGGCACTAGGGACATGAGCAGCTGGCAGACCACCCTGCCCCACAGGGTGCCCCTCAACCGTCAGAGCAGAGCCCGGGTCAGCCCCCTGGACTGGACAACGCCAAAGACATTTCCCTGACTCAGCTTGGGCCTGTGCCCCTTCCCAAGAAGAGGAGGAGGAGAGGGAAACGGCCGCCATGCACCTGCTCAGCCTAGTGCCCACCCAGCACCTGCCCGGCCTGGCGCTTTCGACGACAACCACATTAAGTATGGTGTGACACTACGCCGGGCGGTGTCACATGGGTAGGGGCTGGATCTTACACAGGTGGTGAATCCGCCTGAGGTGGCTTTAAAGAGAAGACCACCAGGGCCAGGAACAACAGGTGCAAAGGCTTGGAAGCAAGAAGGCCAGGGGCAGGAGGGCCCGTGGGACGTGGCCTGAGGGACAGGGACCAGGCCTGTTTCCCTTCTGAGGTCACTGTGAGGCGCAGTAGGCGGGCGACGAAGGGCGGCAGCTCCGGCCTAGCGGGGTTGGGTGGTCCTGGGCTGTCTGGACAGGCTGTGGCGGGGCTGTGAGGGGTCAGGACGGGTCAGGACGGCGGCCGGCACGCGGGGAGGCCGCGGAGCGTGGGGACAGTGGGGGCCGCCTTTCCACGTCTGGCCGGACGCCCG